GAAACCTTTTTCCATACAAAACAAGCGATTGAATAGCAGCTTTTGGAACGTTCGCCCAACTCAGCAGCACGATCGCTGATTACTGGGCCTTGCAAAGGATGGATCAATGCTTCGAGAAGCAAACAAATTTACTAGGAAAGAAATTTTTATTTTTTCCAATTTCAATTTTTTATTTTTTATAATTTTTTGTATTTCACATGGCACGCTTTGATTTAGAAGAAAAAATTTAGAACAGTTTTTGACACTTTCGATACCAGAAGCAACAACGAAATACACGCAAATGTTGTCTTTGCTCTACTGATACTACCTGTTTAATGTGCCTTGGCCTAGAACCTGAAAACCTAATTTTTTTTTTCTTAAAGGAATTTTTTCGCTTTAAATATTTTATATGTACAACTTATGTTAGTTATGGTTGCACTTTTGCTACATAAAGAATGGACACGAATAAATTCTGATAATTTTTGATGTATTCTTTCGTTTTTATCTACTTTCTTTCAATAATTTTCAACGCGTCGCAATTCTGAACAGTTTGGTAGGTTGCGATCCTTTTGAACAATATATACCCCGTGACTAACAGACCAGTTCATGCCTAAGGGGTTAGTATGGCACAATGCTATATCGGGACGGAACAGAACGAAAGCAAACGACATTGCAAACACTCCTTCATACAAATTGCTTGATTTATGAAGCGCGTGGTAATGATTTTTTGCTCTTGTGCCACACTGGCGGATGGGTTGCCACACCAAGTATTTATTAGGGCACAAAAAATAATAAAAAACACGGAACTTGTCCAGTATTTTTAGCTTGAGGGCATCTTGGACTCCATTTGTCTTCGTTGCATTATAAAACCGAGCGCCCCNGGTGTTTAAACAGCGATCTTGCTGGGTGATTAGATTGTGAAGATGAAAGTCAGGAGGATACATCTGACATTTGCAGAAAAAAAGAAATATAACTGAAAGTCCTCTCAACTGGTGCAGCGTCAATCGAAAAGAATTTACAATTTTGTCAAGTTTCAAGTTTGTCGCCTCAGTT